CTTGATCTTGATTAGAAGCTCTAAACCTAAGCTGATTAAAAGCTGTAATTTCCACTTGATAAATGACAAGTTAATGTGATTACTTTCTATTTTCTCAGACAAATTCAATGACTTCTTGATCACTCCAGGTTTGATATTTGATCACAAAGAGTTGGCATTTACATGCTTTTGTGCTTGAATGTTGGTGTTGAGGCAGTTTGGGAAATGAAATTATCTATACTCTGAGAATTTTTTTAGACTTAATTTTTAGGAAAGTTAATTTCTGTATAGATTTATGAGTCAACACTGAGATGTCCTTAATTCTTCATAACTATTTGATGGTTTGCAAGACTTTACTGTATCAAAAAGGCAAAATAAATATGTATTCATTGTCTGGTCACAATGATAGTGAAATCTATTAAGCCTTGAAAGTCCTTGTTATTTCATTCCTTGGTGGTTAATGTTACTCAAGTCTATATTACGAGAAGTTTCATGGTACACAGACTGGTATCTCTCACCCTGAACCCAAATATTTTTGAGTTCATGACCTAGTTTTATTGTATATTATTCCAATGACTTTGAGAAGTCACATAATCCGTTGAAACTTTAGTTTTCAGATCATCCCTACTCTAGCACACAGATAAAAGTTGAGTCACAAGTAAGCAACAGATTTCCATTGACCTAGTTCTGTACAATTTTAACTATTCATTTTGTTCATTTCCTGACAACTCTCACGTATCTAAGAATTTCTGCAGATTATACAGAGAAACCTTTGAGCATCCCTTAATTGTCTATCTAACCTCTGTTATTTTCTCTTGTGTCTGCTCCATTAACAGAGTTGCTTAGCAGCAGACTTCTGGCCAAAACAAAAAGTCCCATCAGAGAACATAAGACTGTCATTAACTAGGTTTGCTTTTGCTGTCTACTACTCAAGGGTAGGCTTACTTTGATCTTCATCTATGAGATATATCTTAAACAGTACATATGCAGAGACTGCTAAGTCTTAGTTCTTAGAGAGAAGGAGACTGAGGGTATTTCATTAAATGCTGTTATCTAAAGACACAGCATAAAAGAAATGTGCAGTAGCTATTCAAACCATTATCAATCAAGTTTAATGATTAACCTGCAATTTATTTAATTACTCAAAAACCACTAAAATGTTTCTAAATATTTACTACTTTTACTGTTAAACCTAAAACATCCATTCGCTTGAGTGGAACTTCACATTTGCTTTGATAAATGATACAAAAAAAATGACCCACCACTGATTATATGCCTGAAAGTACTAAGTACAAAGGATTGGTGAGCCAAGGTGTATATATCTGTGAGTTTGGGGCCAGCCTGATCTACAGAGCAAGTTCCAGGACAGGCTCCAGAGCTACACAGAGAAATCCTTTCTCGAAAAACCATTTATATACATGTGTGTGTGCATGTGTGTGGGTGTGCGTGTATGCAATTTATATTTAAGTGTCATGTTGCAATGCATATATATGCAATATACACACATATATGCAATATATACACATATATGCAATATATACACATATATATATGCATTGCAACATGACACTTAAAAGAGAAAAAGCTTAAGAGTGAGGGTTGGGGGATATCTCAGTTAGCCAAGTGCTTGCTGTATTCAAATGATGATTATTTACATACAAAGTCAACACTGGTAGGTAGAGAAGGGATCCTTGAAGCTCAGGTACAATGAGAGACTCTGTCTCGAAAAACTAAGGGACATCAACAACAGAACACCAAAGTGGAGAGGAAAATATCATGAAATTTAACCCTTGCACAGAGAACTATGGATAACTAAGAAATGCACAGAGCAGAAAAATTAGTTTTCTCCAGGGAGGAGCATACCAATAGATTTTCCAATATGAAATGCCCAGCTCTGAAAATATACATATGAGCAACATTATGCAAACTGAGATGGTTGCATTTAGAAATATGCATGCATATGCACACACATATATGTGCATGTGCAACAATTAGTGAAAAAAAGAGGATAGGAAGTGGAGAGGAAATAGAAGAGAGAAATGGCATAATTATAATCTTAAAAAACCAACTAAGTTGGAAAGATATTGAAGACACTGACATTGATCTCTGTCCTCCACATGCGCCTGCACACACATGCACACATAGAAACTTGCACATGCATGCCACCAAAGGCAGACAGTAAATCTCTTAAAGGCCTATACATGGTTCCCAAATTTGAAAGGTGGGAATAGAGGGAAACTCTATGTGCTTTTGAGATGTTGTCTTTGCATATGACTTTTGTCTTTTGTAGAAAAAATAAAGAAAAATAAAGAAGAAAAGTAGAAAGAAAAGAAGAGAAATGTGAAAGAGGAAAGGAAAGAAGGAAGATCTTCTACTCTCTAAATTGTTAGTTTTATCTTAAAATCCTTACTCGAAGCATTGCTTTAGAGGTTGTGGATGCAGTGTCATGGTAGGCACAGCGTGGGCACAGGCCAGTTCAAAGCTCAAGATTAGGCCTCCAAAATTCAGATCAAAATAATATAATTAATTCTGTACAGAACAATAGAACTCAGTCAAAATAACACACTGTCTTCACATTATCTTTCTGGGTAACATGAGGCAGTCAATCAGGCCAAAAATAATCTGCACTTTCTCTTACTTCTTTATCTCTCTATTGTGCAAAACTTGGTAGGAAAGAAGCCAGCAAAGATTTAGTGCCCAACACCCTCTGTAACAGCCTCAGAGAAAGAGATCAGTAAAAAGATCATTCTGCCCTGGTGACAAGGATTGGGGTAAATGAAATACAAATCTGAGGGGCAACACACTGGGCTGGGCATGCTTAGAATTAACTCAAGATTATCATTTTACTCATCCACTGATAGGAAAAATTGGGAAACTTGCATGAAATTCGTGGCCACATTATCATTACAATCACTTCTTCTGGAAGTCATTTCATTTTGGAGAGAAACAAACATTAAATAAAAGAGTTTACACACAGTATATGAGGCTCTGGCATCAGACATTATTTCTTCTTATTTTTGTTCTGTTATCTTGTTTGTTCATTCATTTTTACTTTTGTCCCAATAAGTGCACTTCATTTTTAGGTATCTGGTGTCAAAAAGTCTTGATTCCGTGTAAAGACAGGAAAAGCGGTAATCTCTTCTCTGTTCATAAATATTCATGACTGACATCTCTACACTAAAAGACAGTAGCATAGTAAGTTAAGAAGAAAATATAACAAATGTATATTATATGAACCTGGTGACATTTAGATGAATGATTTAAAGATCCAAGGTGGATTCCAAGGTTTATATAATCCATTTTATACTCAGTTGAGAAAAACAGCAAGACCTATATAACTCATCTCTTCTTAGTCTCTAAATAGAGCATATCTCCTACCAAGTATGGGACAGGACACCTGAAAGAGAGTCGTATGGTCTACTACCACACAGAGTTTTCCAAAAAACTTAATGGTGAGCTCCAAAATAGTAAACATCGTTTACTATTTTTAGGTTTTATTCCTTGCTCTGTGGAAGGAGGCAAAGTTTCTAAGACTCATCTAAAGAGCAGAAAGCTCAATTTCACACATTCAGGAGAGGATCAGAGTAAGGTGCTGGGATGGGGTAGGGAGACAGAAATGGAAAAAAGTTAGGAGAGGGCCTCAGTAAGTAGTTTAGACAAGCCTGGAACTCACTGCATATTCCAAACTGCCAAACTGGCCTAGATCTAGCAATCATCATGCTTCTGGCTTCCCAATAGTGGGATCACAGGACTGTGCCACCATAGCCTAGAACGTTACTCCTAAGGTCTTTAGTTTAAAATGGGATTTTCAGATATCGACAGAGGAAAACCACAAAGGTAAGCTTGGAAATAATCAGCTGTAAACTATTTGTATTGCCCAACAAACCACAGTTCCCTTTAATGATAACGAGAAGAAACAGACCTGTTATGATTGTTGTATTGAAAGAATAAGGGGTAATGAGTAAGCCAGAGGTATTTGTGGACTAGGACCCTATGGTAATCATTTGCCTCACAACAGAAGAATCAGTGGCAACATCAAGACCAGGCGTCATTTCTTACCACCCTACATAGGCTAATTCAGCTGATACATTGTCTCATTTTATGGGCAGAAAAACTGAGTTATAGAGAAGGTAAATGCTCCTCTAAGGTCATATGATTTTAAAAAAATGGTGCATTACTGGTAAGAATTAGAATGTTCTGTTTTACTGACTTCTATCTGTCTTGAATTTTTTGATGGCCCGGGACACTTTATCATGTCATAATTTTATATGTTGTATGGTATATATGTTTATATGTGGGTTACAGATGTTGCTGTTGTGATTTTACGATTCACCATGGGAAAAGATTTACATTGATCATTTGAATCACGTTACTTGCACAGTTCAGTGACATTGCATATATACTCATTCTTGTTCAATGACCAATGACAACAAGTTTCTCCTCCGCTCCAAACGAAACTCTGTACCCATTAGGTAACAATTCCCCAGTACCTTGCTTCTTCAATTCCTAGCAGTGACTCATGGGTGTTATTATCTGGCATAAAAAAAAATATTTATAAGCAGTGAAAAAATGTAACTATATGCAAAGGGGAAAGGATTCAATAAGGAGAAAAAAATTGTAACTAGCCCTTCAGTACTGTGAACTCTGTGAGTGTGCTGTGTATATCTTTAAAAGTCTCTCCACCTCTCAGCCCGCCTCCTCGGTGTTTACCCCTGGAATTTTCTGTCTCCAAGTTTCCTCTGCCTCAGAGAGCAGCTAACAAGGCAAATTCCTTTGTAGTTTCAGAAGCAGGCTTGTTGCCATGGAGTCCACAATGCCACTGGAGTAGACTAGTAAAAGGTAACCACTAAAGATCCTGTCCATAGATAGGCTGTGGTTCTTCTTCTGGAAAAGCCTGACTGGTAGGATTCCTTTAAGGGCTCAGCCCCAAAGTGTTTTATGTCATCACTTCAGCTACTTGAAAACTGAAGCTACAGGAGACCTCTGAAAGAGAACCTACTGGGCTCAAAGGCTTCCCACCAATGGCCAATCCTAGAGGTACTACTGTTATTAATGGGACTTTCCACAGCCCCAAGACTCAGCACAGCAAATGGCAAAGCACTGATGGTGTGAAAAACGGAATCCCAAAAGAAGCCCAGGTAAGAAGCTATCCCCTACATCCTTAATCTGCATGGTCCAAATATTTCCATATTTCTTAGCAGCATCATTTAAGGTAGTCTTTACTCAAAGTTTCTCTTGGGGGATGTTTTATTGTCTTGACTCAGCCAATCAGCTAATATTTGTTATGTGTGTCTGCTACAAAGCTCAGAGGTGGTTATACGGGAATTACTTCTGTAGACAAAAGAAGATGTAGACAGAGTCACGAGGTCCCAGATTCTATAAAATAAAAAGTTTGTAAACTTTTCATTTCCTATCAAGCATTTCGGGGGGGGGGGGTCAATATTGTAAAAGATCAAACTCTTTGAGCTACCAAGCAACTTGCTACACTCACAAATGCTTCAGAAAAAGAGAGAGAGAAGTGATGGTAAATCTTGCTGAGATCATGGGGTAGATAATGCTTGTCCCTGATGCATATGAAATGCCTTTCTGGTTGAAAAAAAAAATTTTTTTGGTGTTTAACAGAGTATTGTCATAGCCACAGCCTGATTAGAGACTGGGGTCTCTCTTTGAAATCAGACTCCTTCCCTCCAGTATCCCTTTCTAAAAACCACTTCTGGAAGTGGCGCTTAGGGTGTTCTTCACACTGAAAGCAAAGCAGCGTCTCTTAAACAGACTTTCCAGTTATTTCCATTTCACATTTTTCCCTCTTTGGGGCCTCTGCTCTTATAAAATATTTGAGGGTATGTAATAGGGAAGGGAGACTCAAACAACTATTCAAAATAGCGTCTCAAATCTGTGGGGTTCTTGAAGAAAAGCATTTGTGCATGTCACATACCTTGCCAAGACTTTCTGGTCTGAGTCACACGGTGAGCTAACCTGCCTTAAGGACAAGCTTGAATAGACAGATAGGCAATCTCACTGTGGGGGAATTGGCAGAGCTGTGTGTAGAACCCCATGGAATCCTCCTCTTGTGAGCCAGCCTCTGCTTGAGGAAAATGTTAGGTTGTGCCAAACACCTAGAACAGAGAGGTCTGGCTGGGGACAGGCCTCCATACTCTGAATCAAATTTGCATGCCCACTTGGGAGGTGCAAGGGGCACTCAGGATCCTGGCTAGTGTGGTAAATGGTATGGCCCCTAAGTGTATCCATCTTTTATCCAAAGACATTTGGAAGCACCTACCAGAAATCTCAGGCTGAAGCAGAATGAAGAAAACTCACGGGACTGTACATCCTCCGCTCAGATCATTACTAAGATGCCTCTTGTCCCTGAAGTACCTGTTTCACTAGACACTCTTTACCCCCTAGATTTTTCTGATTCTTGGGTATCTTATTTGACCATAGATGCCTTCAAAACAAGTTTTTCTTTTTTTTACTTATCTTGATTTCATAACTATATTCTAGTGTTTGAAACTGAAAGAGTAAATAGAAAACACAGACATTCCTATTTAAGAGTAAGGTCCCTCCTGTACATGAGTGTAACTGTACAAGTCCGTAACATACTTAGTCATGGAAGCTTCTGGAAGTGCATACATAATGTCACTACTGTGGACTTTCCTGACAGCTCTTTCTGAGAAGATCCTGTTTGCTATGATATATTTAGATGTTTCTAAGTTGAAATTGGTTTTCACTAAGGCGCTCAGTTATGTCTTAATAAATATTTCCCTGAAATAATAAACTCTGCTGAGTTCATAACAGAATGAAGTAAAAAGGACCTATGTTCTCCTTCTAAAGTGTGAATAAAGTTGTCTTTATTATCATGATCCTCAGGCAAAAGTTCTACCTCATGGGCCTCTTAACAGGCTATGTCTTGGCCAACAGTCTTGCCTATTGGCAAAAGCAATCCGTGGGAGCTTGTAGATGTTTGAGGTCAGTGGTCTTTCAAATGCTTTGCCGGACTTAGGTCTTTCGGGACAGTGCCTCAAACCCTACCCGTTCTAATGAAGATCTCTTTAGCTTTTCTTCTGCTTCTTTGTACGCACACAGACATATGGTTGCCACTTTCACATACAGGCTACTCTGTAGTATTCTATTGGTAAACAATTTCCCAGCATAGCAAGCAAAAGATAAACACTGTTAGGCAGGAACTTGGGAATGTCCTCCACTTTCTTCCAGTGTAGCTTGCTGTGAACTCTGTGATTCCGGTATGTAGGCTTAGTAGCCCAACCTCACAACTGAACAGGAGCCAGAACTTTTCCACTTGGAAAACATCTAGAGTTTCTTTCTGGAGCTTTTCTGAGCCTTAATCCTATTGCCTTTCTTTTCTTGTTAAGCCCCGTATGACCCAGAGATGAACTGAAATGGGCTTTCACCACTGATTAAGTCCATTCTTTGCTCACTTCTAATATGGCTCCTGTGTTGTTATGCTTGCTAGAATGCTATTGTCCAAGACAACTGAGCTTCCCTCCCCATGAGCATATCCCATGTGAAGCTTGGTTGGCTTTTAATACCCTTAAATTTTATGAACTCTTTCCTGGACAGTTGCAAAGTTTTCCAATTTTGCCTTTGGCTTCTATTTGTTACCAAGTCTCACCATCAAGATGACTGAAAGTGGTCAATATTATCCTTTGAAAGATTGGATAATTCATTGCTTCAAAAGTTTGTCCTTCAGTATGAACTGTTCTTCATTCTTAATCTCATCCTTTATAAAAAAAATATTCATGGCATAGACATAATGCAGGCAAGTGCTTGTGACATTAGCTGTGAGAACAGAGATAAATGACAGAGAATCTCTGCGAAATGAGACTTAATGGAAGATGCTTGGGTTAGCTGTACTCATGACCTCAAAAGGTATTTAGGGAGACCAGCCTCACTCCAGCTTCCTTTCTGGTGATGTGATCTCTTCCTTTCCCATATATTCCCACAATTAAGATATCATATCAGAAGGTCCTCATAAGACCTGAGCCAATACTGGCATTATACCGTTGAACATCCTGTATTGTTACTTTCATAATTTTTTATCTTGATAAAATTATATTATTTCAGACATTTTGTTTTTGTAGTCGAAACCTTATCAAAATGGAAATTTGTTGCAAACTAGTTGTTCATAATTATTACCAGACCTGTGACTGTGGCAGTAACTCTGTAGTTGGGTGATAGGTTGTTAGAGAGTTTGAAGGAGCAGACTAGAGATATCTCTGACTCTGCAGCCAGTGTAGTAGACCATTCCATGAGATATTGAAAGACAAGGATACTAGGGAACTAATCTCAGATGGCAATAAGGAACCTATCAGAAATTAGAGGAAAGGACTCCATCCCAGAAGCAAAGGGAGGATAAATAGACTGTGCTTTCTAGCTGGAGGAACTGGACAGGTACAGTATAAAAGCTATTGGAGGGATCAGAGGGACTGCCAACACAATCTCAGGAAAAAAATGCATAAGCACTGAGCTATGTAGACCATGCTTGAGATTTAGATAATTGTAATCTCGTCACCACAGAAGACTGGATTATCCTATTAAGTGATGTACACAAACCTTATCCACTGAATTTAGCAAAGAAGAAAACAAATATATCAAATCCCATATCATTTCCATAAATTTTCATAGAGCAGAACCATGACAATATCACCAATTTTTAACAATATAAAAATTTAAAACTTTACACAGTATCCTAAAATACAGTGAAAACTTAAAATTTGCAATATAAATGAAGGGATGGACTGTAGTCATGGCTCAGTGGATAAGAGCACTTGCTTTATGTCAGGGGACCAGGGTTCAAGTCTCAGCACCCACATGGTGGCTCACAATCCCCCATAACTCTGTCTTCAGGAGATCTGGCACCCTCTTCTGACCTTCACAATCACAATGCACATGTGCTATTCACTTATATACATAGAAACAAAACACTCATATAAAGAAAATAAATAAATCATTAAAATATATTAATTGAAGGGAGAAAGCTCTTACAATAGCGCCAAGATTAAAAAAAAAACACATAGGAAAAGATTCAAAATTAAAGTACAAAATAATTTAGAGGTAATGACAAGATACTACTGAGAGCCATAAAAAAACAAGAATAAGAAGAAATCCTATAATATTGATAGAAATATCAAGATGAAAATTTTCCAGTTTTGTCTATTGTCATCTATAAATTTTATGTGAATATAATATCTTTTAAGCCAGAAAAATAACTTTAAAATTATATGGAAAAATAATAAAGGAAAATAAATAGAAATACATTATTTGAAAGGATAAAATAATGAGGGATAATTAGTACTATGTTATACATGAAATAATTAGAGCCTTTTATATGAACAAAAGAATATACAGATTATAAAATTCATACATAAAATAGAGAATATTATATATTTTAAAAATAGTATTTACATAGAGAAAGCTATTGTAATTATAGCGTAAATTTCAAGATCCAAGCTGGGCAGTAGATGAGGATGCCTTTAATCCCAGCACTCAGGAAGCAGAAGCAGGGGGATCTCTGTGAGTTCAGTGCCAGCCTGGTCTACAGACCTAGTTCTAAGATATCCAGAGCTATATATGAGACCTTGTCTCGAAAAACAAAACAGACAAAAAATATTCAAGATCCACAAAAGGAGAGGCTAAAAACTTATCAGCATAAAAACCAAGCATTTCTTTTGAATGACAAAACCAAAATTACATATTAAAAAAAAGACAATACTATAAAATCATCAAAAGCCATATTATAGGCCAGGGAAATGTTTACAATTCACAAAATTAAATGAAAAAAAAATCCATGGGGACATTTAGACCCAAATATTGAAAATTCCACAGAAAAAAAATAGGAAAAATATATATATATTTTTTTTAAAGGTAAGAGGGAGCTCACTGACTCTGGACTGACAGTGAAGGGACCAGCATAAAACCAAACTAGGTCCTCTGAATGTGGGTGACAGTTGTATGGCTGGGGCAGACTGGGGCCACTGGCAGTGCGACCAGGATTTATTCCTAGTTGAACTGGCTTTTTGGAGTCTATTCTCTGTGGAGGGATACCTTGCTCAATGTAGATATAGTGGTGAGGGCCTTGGTCCTGCCTCAAAGTGATGGGTTAGAGCTTATAGACTCCCCA